GGGTGGAAAAGCCCCAGCAGGGGGGGGAAGGGGGAACAACAACCCGCACCCCCCCCCCCCCCCCCCAAACCGATGGGCCTGCCAGCCAGGTAGGAGGGGCCAGGTCCCGCGGCGGGTCTCGCCTCCTTCAGGGGGAGCCGCTCCCCCTGGTGTGTGTGTGTGTGTGTGTGCATGTCGGAGCATGCTGGAGCGGGATGGTAGAGGGGGATGGCAGGCCGGTACCTGGCCCATGCGCGGCACCTACGGCGCCTTGGGCACCGGGCCGCCGCCACTTGGCAAGGGGCCGGTGGCAAGCGTAAACTAAACCTCATCCCAGGAGAATAATGAGAGCATGCGTATATGTGTGTGTGGGTATGTATGCCCGCGCGCAGGTATGCATGCCAGCGGCTCATGCACGAACCGCCAGCCTCTCCTGCTTGGACTTGCCTCGAGATGTTGCCATAGCGATCTTGCCCTTTGCCGTGGAGCCGCGGGCGCCCTTCCCACCCCGGGACATGCCGGGGAAAATGAAAGTGCGACGACTTGCGGCGGGGGCCGGCCGCTTGCCCGGCCCGGGGTGGGCTTTCGGGAAACAACCAGGCAAGCGGGCCTCGGGCAGAGACGGGCAGGCCGACGTCCGCGGCTTAGGGGACCCCTCGCCGGAGGGAGGACCGATGCCTGGACGCAGTCCCGCCGGGGGATGAGCGTGCGCGGGTGTGTCCGCCAAGCGGGCGCGCATGCGGGGCCGGCTGCGAGCACATGGGCGAGAGCGTGGGGCGGGAGGGGGAGGGGGGGCGGGGGCAGCTGAGTGACCGGCCCCGACCACGTCCCGAGGGTGGGAAAAGACCCCGAGACGAGGGACGATGGGAAGGTGTGTCCCTGGCTCCCGGGCGTCCGACCGTCCCCGGCGCCCCGCCCGCCCCCCGGGAAGCGACTTGGAGAAGAACAACCGGCCTGAATATGGAGAATGGGCGACCCGGGATCTGGTAGTGTGTCCCCAACCCGGCTACACCAAACAAAGGTCGCTATGTTCGTCGCCCCTCGGGGGGGGGGGCGCGGAAGAGAAGGAGGGCGTTGGAGTTAGCCCGGGCGCAGTCCGCCGGCCCATCTCACAAGCCCGGAGGGCGCCTTTGTCCTTGCTGGAGGAATGCGGCGGGCGTTTCCAGGGGAGGGCTCTTACGGGAAGGGGAGGGGGGGGGGCTACAGCCGGCAAAAGCACCCGACCGGCGGGGTAATCCATTCAAAATACGCAATATTTATTCCCCAGTAGCGGAGGCAAGGTATGCAGCAAATGCATGATGGGCTCCGTGGATGGTCCTCCCTGGAGCGGGCCTTTGGGGCTCGAGCTCCATCGGGGGCGCGAGTGAGTGATATTCTGCGGGGGACATCTGGCGCGAGGGCGCCCTCAGGGGAGGGGTGTGTGTGTGTGTGTGTGTGTGCATGTGTGCTCCTCGCTGAGAAGGGACCGGCAGGGAGCGGGAGCAGGGTCTTCCAGGAAACCGCGGCCCCAGGGGCACACAGGCCTGACACGGGCGGGCGCGGGGGGGGGGGGGGGGGAGGGGCGCGTTGCTTTTTCTCTCGCGCGGATCTAGCGACTACTCCCTTCGGCCGCGCCAGCCTCCGATCCCCCCTTGGCCGGCCGACGGCCGGGCTGGGCGCACGTGCGTGTGCTCCATCCCGCCTCTGCCGGCGGGTGGCCTCCAGCACTCGTCCGGACGGGCGCGTGCCGGAAGCGTTGCCTCCCCCCCCCCCCCAGCGTCCATTGCCCCCCTCTTGAGGGGGTGGTAAGGCCCCCAAGATGGTTGAGCGGCTGGCGCATGCCGATTCCTCGAAAATGACTGGCCGAGTCGGTGGCGGGCGGGCGGGAGTACGCGACTGCCAGAGCCCCTGGGACACACAGCATGTCGGCACCCTGGGCGGGCCGGCCCATGCGCCACAAAGGGCAACACCAAAGGGCAGGACACGGGAGCAAGAAAGGGAAGAAGGAAAAGCCCGACTCCCTCGCCAAAAGCCCGGGGGGGGGGGGGGGGGGGGGGGGGCCATGCAGGACCACCCCGTCCTCCGTGGCATATTGTGAAATGGGCGCCGGCGGTCAGGCCGGTAGTTGAATTTCGGATAGCAGACCACCCTACGGGGACTGAGGGGCGCGGCGGCGCGGCGGGGGGGGGAGCACCCCCGATGCTCGAGGCCTCGCACCTGACGCTGGTCCTCCTGTGTGCGCGGCTCCGTCGCGCACGCTGATGTTGGTCCCTGCGCCGACACGGCGGGGGCATGGCCCAGCCTGGCCCTCTCGCCTGGCTGCAGAAGGGTGGGGCCATCTGCCCCTCTTCGGGGGAAGGGAGAGGCATGCCGCCAAACAGCATGGCGACTCGTGGGCCGGTCCGCGGCGAGCTGGCTCGCCCCCACCCTGCCGCAGGACCCGATAAACAAAGACCCCAGCTCCGGCGGACCCATCGCGCCCGACCACCGGTCCTCCCCCCCCCCCCCCCCCCCGTGGTTGGAGATGACCCTGCCCCCCCCCCAATCCCCCCGCCGCTCGGGGCCCCATGCAGGGACAACGGCGGGATGACCCCCTCCCCGTCCCCCGCCCCCCACGGCACCCAGCGCGGTGTGGCCTGTCTTCCGCCCAAGACCCGGGGCCGAAGCCCCTCACGGTGGCCGGGCGATCGGCAGCCTTTTTTCCGACAGGGCGCCGCGTCCCCGACAGGCCGGGCGCTATCGACTCCGCCCCCTCCCCTGGTCAGAGGAAAACTCACCGGAGAGTCTTGTGCGAGAGAACGAGAGGGAGAGAGAGAGAGAAGACCCCGGCGAGGGCGTACCCAGAGTGCATGCCAGGTGCGGGGGAGGGGGCGGGGGGGGGAAAGTTGCTTCGCCCGCGGCATGGCTTCCCCCTCGGCCTGCATCTTGGGGGGAAAATTCGCCAGCCGTACATCGTCTCGACCCCTCTTTGACCAAAGGCCACTTATGCCGTCCCGCCAGGAGGCAGGCCGAGCCCCGAAGGGTACAACACACCCGTGCCCCTTGCATGAATCAAAATGCGGGGGCGGCCGCAAGGAGGCAATATCGCCCACCGCCCGCCCCCCCCCCCCGGGCGTCTGGTCAGGGGGCTGCAGCCGAGGCGCTCCTGTCACAAATCGCCCTGCCAAGAGGGATCACCTGGCACATGCGACACCCGCACCCACATCACGTTCGACTGTACTCCGGCCCCCTTTTTTGTCTGGGTCTGTCCCCGAACGCGCGTATGTGCGCGCCGTGCCGCACCCCCCCCCCTCGCCTCTTGGCCATCCCCAGAGAAGAGAGAGGCATAGCCGGAAAAAGGAAAAAGAGCCACCGACGTGGTCACAGCCACAGCCTGGGCCCCAGTTCTCTTACTCCCCCCCTCCTCTCTTCTTGCCCCTCTCTCCCCCCCCCCCGCTTTCCCTCCCCGCCCCCCTGGTTCTCGACAATGTCGTCAGTGGAGCCCTCAACTCCCTCGTCCCAGGCTCCGGCGTACGCTTCCGAAGTCAGCGTTGTCCACAGTGAGGCCCTCTTGCGGAGGTACCCCTCCCCGCCGGCTCCCCCTTCGCTGGAGGGAGCCATTGCCACGCTCTTCGATCCGGCCGATCCTTCCTACCGTGCGGCCCCGGTGGACTTCCCCTACGGTGTCCCACGTTGGAGCAAATCCCGGCAGCAGTGTGTCTCGACCAAGCCCTTCCCCCAGGGCTTCCGAGTTCAGGCCGACCCGGACGAAGTGGACGTCCCGGATGCCGGGCCGGCTGCCGCTTCCACCGGCGCCCGGTCCTAGTGTCGTATCCCGCCGTCGCGGTGCTGACCCGGAGGCGTTCGTCCTTCCTCTTCCCCCTGACTCTCTTCCTCTCGGTCTCCGCAATGGCAAAATGATAAAAGAAAATAGAATAGAAACTCTCCGATCGTCCGCCCAGTTTTTCTTCCCGCCATCCGATTGAGAGAGAGCGCCAGCAGAGGGCAAGGTGGAAAGAGATGTGGGGCAGGAGGGCACCCGGAAAGTGCCAACGCCCATGAGGTCACAACGGACCCCAATCACACCACTGTCCACATGCCCGCAGCACGGCATTTCCGAGCATTCCGCAGGCTTTCCCCTTTTGGCGGTCGCCTCGACGACCTCCAGTTCCGGGGCCGATCAACACCGTTCAAGAGGGTTGGAATGGGGCGGCGAGGCGCGCGGGGGGCGGCACGGAGAACGTAGGTGTGTGTGAAGAAAGAAAGAAAGAGCGAGAGAAGCAGAAACGGAGGGCGCGCCAATCATCCCCCGGCGCCGGTACCCGAGGCTGGGCATAGACTCCGGGGCCTGGGGGCCATCGCACAAGCGGGGCTACATGAGTCTTGAGCGCGCTGCCTGATGTTACCGGAACTCTCTACTCTATGAGGTGGCATGCCGGAGGCGCAAAACACCCCGCCCCCCTTCCAGGAGAAGTCTACCCAATCGGCGGGTCTTCGGATGCGGCCGCCAGGCGCCATTCATGGGAGGGCACCAGGGAGCGTGTCTTCATCCCCCCCCCCCCTCCGTTCTCCCTGCCGAGATAGGAAGAGCCGATCAGGGACGGGCGGAGGAGGGCCCACCTCTTCACCCTTGCTGGCGTCCGTGGCTGGATGTCGTCCTGGCCGGGGGGGGGGGTCTCCGCGGGGCGCCTGCCTTGGCGCATTCCCCTGGCCGATTACAGGCCGGCAGTTTCTCTCTCAGACTGGAAAGTAGAGGGGGGTGGAGGGGGGGGGCATCTGTCGCACAGTTTGGTTCAAAGCAAGCCTACGTCCCACCGGGCCCACCCCGGCTGCTACCCATGCACACCTCATTTCTCTCCCTCCCCCCTCCCCCCCCCGCGTTTTTCTCCCCTTCGTCGTTCTCCCTTCCCTCCTTTCCCTCCTTTCCCTGGGCTCCTCGCATCATGAACCGCATCTTCGGAAGCAGCAGCAGCGCGGCCAAGGCTCCGCCCCCTTCGGCCGCCGACACTGTCAATCGGGTGCGCCTGCTGTCTCTTCCCCTGGGCCGATTGCCTGCCCAGCCCTCTTGCCCTGGGGCAACACCCACGCCTGACCGTTTGTCTTTCCGCTCCCCTTGCTGGCCACGCGCGCCGCATCTAGCTTGAGTCTCGGGCCGATGTTATTCAGGTGAAGATCGACAAGATTGACGCTGAGCTGAAGACCATCCAGACGCGTCTGTCCAAGATGACCGAGGGCTCGGCCAAGGTGCGTTTAACTCGCTGCTCCTGTCTTCCCCCTGCCCCCGCCCTCTGCTCCTCTGAAACGTGCATATTCACCGCCTCCCCCCCCCCCCCCCCCCCCCCCCCCCCCCCCCCTCCCCCCCCCCCTCTCGGCCTCTCTTACTGCGAATCCCCACAGCAACAACTCAAAAACAAGGCTATCATGCTGATTCGCCAGAAGCGCGGGTGCGTATGCATCTCCCTTGCTGATGTGTTTCCTCGGCTTCGCGCGCCTCTCCTTGTCTTGTGTCAACCCGCCATCCATCTCACCTTCTTCTCTTCGACCGATCTCGTCTCTCTCTTTCTCTCCCTCTTTTTCTCCTCCTTTCTCTCCCTCTCGTTCTCTCTCTTTTCTTGGACTCTCTTCCCTTCCTCTCCTCCCTCTCCCTTCAGATACGAGCAGCAGAAGAACTCCATGCTCCAGACGGCCTTCAGCGTGGACCAGGTTCAGATGACCACCGAGAACCTTCGCCTCACCATCGACACGGTACGCTCTCCGCATGTGGCCCGCACCGCTTCGACCTCCCGTCTCTTTCTCGACCAACCCCCCACTCACTCTTCTGTTTCCGGTGGTGATCGGGGCTCACTCGCTTCCCCACAAACAGGCCCAGACCATGAAGCAGACTGCCAAGGACATGAAGCGTGAGTACAAGCGCCTCGATATCAACAAGATCGAGGCCATCCAGGACGACCTGCAGGACATGATGGACCAGGCCAACGAGATCCAAGAGATCATGGGCCGTGGGTATGATGTGCCGGATTACATCGATGAGGCCGATCTCGAATCGGGTGCGTGTGGTTCTCCCTTCCTCCTCCCTTCCCCCCCCCCCCCCCCCCCCCC